CACCTCATTTCGCATCGGCGATCACACCGCTCCCGGCCGACGGCACCCTCTGGGGTTGCCCGCGTAACCCAGGAGTGGCTGACATGAAGGGACCTTTTTTACGTCCTGCGCCTTTTCCCGCCAGTTAGGATGATCTGGCGGGAGGGTTCTTTTTCTAGGCTCCTTTTCCGGCTCACCGTCCTGACTCCATCTGGCCTCGTTTTTCCCAACAGGGCGTCCTATGGGATGAGGCCACAGCCAGTTTTCCTCGTAGATTGGGGGCCCGGTTCCCACAGTCCGCGCTCATCACCAGAGCAGAGGGGTTTTCACCAGAGCAGAGGGGTTTTTCCCTCAGTGCCCCCTGGAGCCGAGCCTGACAGAGGCTTCGTCGGAGCAAGATGTCCAGGTGGACTAGCGTCCCGCGCCTCCGGTTAGCGTAATCCAGACAGTGACACCGATCTTCGACTGAGCTCACCAGCATGCGTTCCAGACGACCGCAGCGAACAACACGTTATGCTGTTGGTGTACATGTTCAGAGGTGGGAGGAGACAACGCTCCATCTGCAGAGCAGCTGACATCACCCCCAACCGGTGCGCCTCTTTGCTGTCTGCCAGCCCGCATCGCAGCCAGAGGACGGAGTTTTTCAGCGTTTCCGAGACCACCAACAGATGGCGCTCTAGGACAACAAATGGCAAAGCAATTGATGGTTGAGGCAGAGAATGTGTGTAGGTGACACAAGTTTGGAGTAAAACATCATTTAATGATGAAAGTGTCCATTTTTAGCCAGTTTGTCAGCTCAGATGATCTGACAGTGGCTCTCTCTCACACCCTCCACACGAAATGAGCCGGTGGCAAGACGGTTCCACGGCCGTCTCACTGAGCTTCAGCCCATCCGGCCCTTTTCATCCTGGCAACAGAGTGTCCAACGTTTTTCCCAGAGACCCCCAGCAGACGGCGCCCTGGGCCAACGAATCCCAGAGCTCATGGGGGAAAAGATTCAGAATGATGGTCTGCAGAGGGTGTGTGTAAATATGACACAAATGTTGAATAAAACATCATTCAATGATCAAGTGTCTGTTTCTAGCCAGTCTGTAAGCTCAGATGGACTCACAGCGGCTGCGCACACACCCTCCACACATAACGAGACGGTGTCTTTAACAAGGGTTTTTTAAACTCACCGTTGCTCCAAGACATGACGAGACGCTCACACCTCACAATGAATAACTCGTTGTCAACCTGAGCTGCACGATCCTCACCCAAGCTGTGTCAAACGCGCACTCACGCGACGCAAACAGCCTTCACCCAAACGGCGTTGCGTTGATGATGGTGCACACACAGCTCCCCGGTGTTCACCGGCCCACATCGGCATAAATGTGGGACCGCAGGTCGGGTCGGTGGAGGACCATGCTCTCAGTGAGAGCGACACACGCCGCATTGAAGCAAACGCGTGCCGCCACGGCGCAGGCAGCCTTCATCCACCACGTCTCAGCGCTCGGCCGCTCACGGCAGCATAAGCGTGAGACAGCTGAGCGAACCCAGTGACGAGTCTCGCTTCCAGCGAGAGCG